GGGTCTAAATGTAATAAAGGTCTTTAGTGTAACAATTTTTGGGGTCTATACAAATGCTAATGTGTAATACTTTTTGGGTCTAAATGTAATTAAGGTTCCAAGTGTAATAATTTTGGGTCTAAATGTAATAAAAAGGTTCTAAGTGTAATAATTTTTGGGTCTAAATATAATACTGTTCCTAAGTGTAACAATTTTTAGGGGTCTATACAAATCCTAATTGTGTAATAGTTTTTTGGTCTAAATGTAAAAAAAATTGTGTAAGTGTAATAAGGGTCTAATACCCATTTCACACTAGCAGAAAATATTACAACTTTTAACAAACCCTATTAACAAGTTGTAACAAGTTTGATATTCCGAGATTTTTGGTTCATTTCACACATGCACTTTCAAACCATGAGAAATCTCGGAAGAATATTATGACTAGGCCTAGAGGCCTAGGGTAGTATAGTAGGCCTAGGCTAGTTGTAGGTTGTCCGAATTACATATCAACTACTAAACTAGGCCTGGTACCGAATTAACAAGATTATAATTATTCTATGGTCCTTAGCCTTCGGAGAGTAAAACGGATTGAACTCCTAGCTCGCTTGGTAGTCGAGCTGGCGAGAAAGATAGACCTAGGCTAGCTAGGCGCAGTCGGGCCGCCGGCCGGTAGCTCACCATTGTTGTTAGAGGCAATCAGTGCGACAAACATCATAATGATTCGCTGTCGGCGTATTTTACGAAGCCTCGTGATTGTTTCTACATCAGACATGTGAAATTTAGCGAGATTTCTTTTGATTTTAGGTCTAGGCCTATTAACAAATGGTAGTAATGTTCATACGTTTTCCATTGCTGCCGCCATTCGTTCCAACTAAAAAAAAACAAAAACACAGCCTGCGAAAAGGTCAAAATATGGACATGACGCATGCGCAACAACAACTCGGAAGATTTCGGGAAAAAACAGGCCTCGCGATGGTCTGTTTTTGTTCCGAGATAACTCAGGGGACCCCTGTGAAATCTCGGAAAATTTACAAGGATTTTGCTTTCACACTCATCCAAACCTGGTTACAACTTTTTACAAGTTGTTAATATTTGCAAAATAGCATCAGTGTGAAATGGGTATTAAATGTAATAATTAGGTCCTAAGTGTAATAATTTTGGGGTCTAAATGTAATAAAGGTTCTAAGTGTAATAATTTTGGGTCTAAATGTAATAAAAAGGTTCTAAGAGTAATCATTTTTGGGTCTAAATGTAGGTCCTAAGTGTACGGTAATCATTTTTGGGTCTCAATATAATGAAGGTTCTAAGTGTAATAATTTTGGTTCTAAATGTAATAAAAATGTTCTACTGTAAGTGTAATAATTTTTAGGTCTAAATGTAATAAAGGTCCCAAGTGTAATTGTTTTTTTCAAATGCTATGAAAGTTATCCTAAGTGTAATAATATAATTAAGTTTTCTAAATGTATCTATATTGATCTAATATGGTCCTACAGTAAAAGCATCGTTGACAACGAAACATTTTCAAATGGGAATTTGATGTAAATGTACCTTCAGTATGTAATAGCTGTTGGCTCTATATTTAATAAATGTCATTATTGTACCAGAATATTTTATAACAACGGTAAAAACAATTAATATTTATAATACTAAATAATAATGATGAAAAGTATTGCTTTAACAAAATGAAAACAAGAACCTGGCAACAAAAAGAGCTGTTCTTAAAATTAGATAACAACCTGGCAATTAGTTATTTACTGTATAAACAACAAACATGGCGAGCTGCACCGTCGTGAGTCGCTGGAATGAAACATGTTTTTAGTATGCTAAAAACCGGCATTATTAGTTGCAGAACTGGATGAAAAACCATTATAGGATATCGTTAGTAGTGCACAGTAGGTGAAAATACTATTTTTGAAGATAGAAGTGTTACAGTACTAAAGTGCATTAGCGCCCCTAACTGTATTTTATAATATCCTTCAGGGTTGGAATACGAGCTCCTTGATATGTTATTTTAATTTTTAAATGAAAAAAAATATATAAATAAATACTAAAATAAACATTTTTTCTATTGTGTTAATCATACAAAAGCATCAGTCTTAGCACTGTCTTAGTAGTTAGGTCTAGGCTTGGCCTAGGGCCTAGGCCTCACATTCACAAATGTGGCCCAAATGAATTAATTTCAATAAAAGGCCCATAAGTATAAGATTACGGCCAAGCAATCAGAACAGGCAGTCAACACAGAGAGAGAAGGAAACGGAGACAACAGTAAGAGAAATTTTTAAAAAAGAAGAAAAAAAAACAAAACAATTAAAGAAAGGTGTATCACTGTAAAAATTTCTCAGAATATTGCTTTTCAACACCAGTATTTACAAAATAAAATGCTGTGGCTAGAGATACGGTACCGTATTTCTACTTCAGTTTGCTAAAGGTACGATAATCTCATTACGTTGTTCGGCCAGAATAATTCAGATCGAGAAAATGAGTTTCCGCAATCGTGATTTTTGATGCAGGTCTATTTAAACAGTAAAGTGCTAGTAATCTTAAAAGAATCCTGTTATTTACAGTTTTATATTCAGTTTTTTTATTAGTGCATGTGTTGTCATGTAAATAGATTAGACCAAAGACCAAGTAGTACAGTATGTCAACTCTCTTATAAGCGAAAGCATAAGCAAGCTGGCCTGGGCCTACGTACTGAGGATTCATGCCTTCCTTGATATGGCTATATAGTATGATTATGACTCTTATTACAGAATGGAACCCTTTCGCTGCGCCTATTTATCGATGACAGTACAGTATAAGAAAATACATACTCTTGCCCAGCTAATCATGTGCTAAGCCAAGTACTTATTCACAAGTTACACGCACACCGCTCTCCTCACAACATCTCACACTGTGGGCTAGCCTGGGTTCCAGGCCCTAATGTTTGGTTACTCACTCTTTATTGCAATTTGTGCGCGCCATACCAAATTTAATTGGCGTCCAATACTCGATTTCTTTTGGATTAGAACCTGGGAAAATGCTGCCTGATCATTCATGCATACAGTTTCCCACATCAAATTTGATGTAGCATATCGTATGCATGACTGATTTTGTAAATCACATGATTGGCTTACTTCATGCATATTAATTAATCTTGGTAAATTTTCAAAATTGAAGATGCGGATGTCTCGACTAGGACTATGTAAGCTAGACCAGCTCCCTTCTGCCTACCTACTTGAATTATAAACAGTATCTAAGGTCTGGCCTGCTGAACGACTATGGACTGATAACCTTACTTACAGAACCCTGCTCACCACTAGTTACACAGATTAATTAGGCATAGGGTAGAACATTGTTAAAAAGGTAGGCCTAATGTAATATTAAAGTTAAAAAAGGCCAAGCCTCTACTAGGCCTACTACTACTAGACTTCAGAGGCCTAGGCTATCCCTTTGGAAAGAGATGTTGTGTTTGCAATGGTATGCCATCTAGCCTATTAAAGCTTAATTGTTTTTGCCATTGCACACACTGTGTTACCAGGGAGCTTTTACATCTCCCTGGTCTTACTAGGGTCTATTCTAAATATTTTTTAGGCCCGTTTTATTAGGGAGGACTATTTTTTAGCTATGCCTAACTAGTTGACGAGAGTGACTCAGTTTCGTGGCTCCGAAAATGTGAACATTGTGATTGGTTAAAATTGTTTATTTCGGTCCGCCCATTTATCCAAATACGGAATTTAAGATTACGTCATTCTTTCGGCATCCTGGTACCTGCATTCAGTGTTTTACAAGTCACTTATTCTGTCTCTAAATTAACTTTCTCATTGGCAGCGCTGGCCAGAATGAGAAAAATAATAAAAAAATAAGAGACTTGTGGCAAGTCTAACTGTGGGCGATCTGCAATGCCGATCTTGAAAGATGACGTCACGCACATTCTGGCTCTTCATTGGGTTATCGTGATGTAATCCCATTTGCCGTACGTTTAGCACATTGAAGTAGAAATACAGTACCGTATCTCTAGCCACAGCGAAATAAAAACCCATTAAAATTTAACATCAATCTTAATACATTTTTATTTAAAGTACTCTAAAACACTGTAATTTTCAAGAAACTTTTTGTTTCATGATATGTTATAAATCTTTAATTCAGCTTGGCCATTCACAATCTTGAAACATGACTGACCCTCACCTTAACCAAACTCGGCTTTGTCAACTTGGCCCCATAGGCAGCGGCTCGGTTTGAAATTTGTTGGCTCGGTAAGCACTTTTGCAAATGGAGTGAGCGTGCTTGTGACTTAAATTGCCCTTAAAATATAGAGAGGTTTTTATGTTTTCAAAATTTTGGAGGAAATCTGTAAATCCTGCACCATACTATACAGATTGTCAGGCCAAATACTAAGGGTCAGCTTATCAAACCAATCCAGAGCTGTCTGTGTAACTATCATAAGTTGGGCTAGGCTAGCTGCATTTCTTTTATTTAATTCAACATGATCATATATGTATATGCTATTTCTAAGCATTGCATTTTTAATTTAATTTAAATTAACACAAGTCCCAATATGACAAAATCTGTTGATAGTGTACCCTCTATAGTTTGATTTTTTTCAAGTCTAAATTTCGAGGCTGGATTGTTTGAGAGTGTAAATAAACATGTGGTTCTTAAATTCATAATAAATTAATATAAAATATTAATATATATTTCGGGAGTGTTTATAGTTTTTATCGATAAGAAACATCTAGATAATGTACTCTTGATTATGTTTGTAACATGTTTTTTTTTTTTTTTTTGAAAGTAAAATTTATCCCAGCACTTATTTGAGAGTCCTAACGAAAATATATACACTACACTTGGTACTGCTCCTATTCAAGAGCAGTTCTCTCATTTGAGAGTTGCTTAATAGAAAATGTAATATACTCTATGTATCTTTTCATGATTAAAATTCCATACCTTTATTTATATATTAGACAGCCTTTAAAAAAATATTAGCATTTAAATTAACTTTATCAGACGTTTGTTAATCTTTTGTTTTCTTCTTTTGCATTTAGTGGCTGAGTTAATGAGAAATGGCATCTCTAGGTCATTGTTCATCAGTCATTCGTAACATTAATGCTGTACAAAGACATCCTTGCAAGAAGTCCCTGCCAATTTTATCTGCATTTAACAATGCAGCAAACTTTTCACAACACAAAAGGTGTCAGTTTTCCGGGCAGCTCCGTCATATATACACATCAGACTCTCAGAAATCAGCAGTTGCCTTTCGTTCCGATTTGAAAAATTGCAAGCGTGTGGTAGTAAAGCTCGGCAGTGCTGTTATCACTCGTGATGATGAATGTGGTGTTGCCCTCGGCAGATTAGCTTCCATTGTAGAACAGGTAAAGTGCAACTAGTTTTTCGATTGTAGGTAAAGTGTAACTACTGCCCCTATAGAGGGGCTGATGGGGACTTGAAGTTTAAGTGGAGGGGTTTGATAATTAAATGAGAGACGGGCGTGGGTGCTACCTTTTTTCCAATTGATGGGCCTCCCATAGATTTTCGCCAGCTGAAGTTCTAAAGCTTCTATTCAAGTAGGTGAATTGTAACTAGGTTTCGTTTTTTTATAAAACGCAAACCTAGTTTTCATCAGATAACCCCTATGTAACTACTGAACCTCCATGCTAGATTAACTTTAAGTACTAGATTCCAATATAGATAAAAGCACATGATACATTTGGCACGGAGATACACTTCCACTGGTGATAAATAAAGATAATAATAAATGTTTGAGAAAAATGTTGTCCTCATATAAGTGGAATGTAAGTGACTTTCTTTCCAAGCATATTCTGACATGTACACAAATCTGACACTTTACACTTGTTGATATTCCAACATAAGAAAGGAAATTGTTATTAATTTTAGTAATTAATAAACTAGTAATATTTGCACCACTCATTCAAGATGCTATGTTTATCACTGGTTACTTTCAGCCAGCCATTCTGTTATTTTGTTTATATTGCATCATATATTGAATGAACAGTTTGATCTTGAGGTATTCACTTCCTGATGAAGCTAGCGAAAGCTTGGGTCACAATAAATTATGTTTGTCAAAAGAAGGTGCTACTGTATTTATTTTATTTTATTTGTTGTGACTGAATAATACAGCTCCTTTTCTTATTAATTTTTGTCTCACTTTTATAGGTATCTAATTTACAATTAGCTGGTCGACAGATGTTGCTCGTAACCAGTGGTGCTGTAGCTTTTGGTAAGCAGCGCCTACGACATGAAGTGAGAATGTCCCAGAGTATGAGAGAAACATTGACACCTATCCAAGGCCAAGTAAGTTGACAGTTAATATATTTCTGACAAATCCCTTTCTACAGTACCAATTTCAGTACAAATAAAAACTGTGGAAGGCCAAAAATTCAGTTACAAACGTACAACATACTCATAGAAACATACTACATACTCACAGAAATGTACAACATGCTCGCTGAAAAGACTTACACAGACATGTACAACATCTTCGCAGAAACAGACAACATAAGACACTCTCAGAAATGTACAACGTTGTTGCATAAAAGGATGCTCACAGTACCTGCAGAAAAAGACAATTTTGTGGGTAAGGTTTTACGTCTCTAAGAGTACGATGTACGTTTCTGCGAGTACGTTGTAGATTTCTGCGAGTTGGTTGTACGTTTCTACGATTACGTTGTACATTGTAACTGTATTTTAGGTGACGATTGCCTTCTATATAAAATACACATATAATACAAATTCAACATAAAATCAGTCGCTTTATTTCTCAATATTCATTCTGAAATACTCCCAAAATCAATATGCTATATAAATACCATATTTATTATATAAAACAGCAGCTTTCCAAGAATTCCAAGACTGTGTGTACATTTTGTGTCCATGATCAGGGAATTACTTTTAGCTTAATTGAGAATCTATTCTTACTATAATTAACTCGCCATTATTTAAAAATATCAGGGGTGTGCGCCATCCTCCTCTTCGCGTTCGCACATGTTCATAAATTAAATTTTAGTTTCTTGTACCTTAAAAGTGCCTTGTAACGGTTTTTACTGTGGTAGGCGCTATATAAATGCATGACCATCGATTACCTTATTTGACCTAAGATAAATCATAAACATATTTTTTATAGGACACCATATTGCAATTTAATATATCCCAACATGGATTAAAAAACCACCACACACTAGTTGTTTGTAACACAATTGCACAATTACTGGTTACAATGATACAGTTCTTTATGTGTACATAATGCAGATTAGTCTGTTTGCTTTTAATAACTACTGCCAATGGATACTGATGTGATGGATATGAAGTATGTAAAAACCTTATACCTCCATAGTAAAACCATCTCCACTTTCTTTGAAGTATACATGTTGTGTCTCTTTATAGAACCTTGCATAGTTACACTTCAAAATGAACACGCCATTTTGACTCAAACTCGCACTCATTTGTGCTGTATATGGTTATTTTCAAGGATTGCTTTTGTGAATGATCAGTATTTATTGTATATTGATTTTAACTATGTTCTTTTATGAATTATTCTAGTTTCAGTTGGAATCAAGAGCTTGTGCAGCAGCAGGTCAAAGTGGTCTGATGTCACTGTATGAAGCCATGTTCTCACAGTATGGACTTACCACTGCACAGGTATTGCCAAGAAGTAATTGCTTATATCACCTCTAACATACCCTTTTTAAAGTATCACTTGTTATAATTCAATCTTATTTTCATTATTTATTAATATGTTTTTTTATAGATATTTTTACATTATAGAATGTAAATATGCATTACTCTAATTATTATAAACCAGGTCATTTATTGGCATAAATTTTAGATTATTATTTTCTTTGACGACTTTTTCATTACTAGGCAAATTCAGAGGTTGTGGATCGCATTCGCTGGCATGCTCTCGCCAGCTCCATTTTGTGTATACTTTCTTCTGTATTTGTCTCACCTACCAATGCCATGAACTCTCATCTCATATTTTAATCCATCACATTGTGTTTAATGTTTTAATCCCACGCTTTGACTTGCCAAGCAGTTTGAAGAAAAAATTTAGGCCTAGGCCTAAACTAGGTCGGCCTAAAATTGCCATCCAATGGCAATTCTGGTTAGGCTATAATAATAGTACAGTATATGGTCACTAATTTCCCAAAAAAAATTTGTTAAAAAATGGAAATCTATAGTCATTCCAAAAATCTTAAAAAGCATTTTTGATGTCTGAGAGTGCCATTTCTGGGAATGTAAGTCATTATTTAAAAAAAATTTACTCAACAGTTTAATTACCTGGAGCAATTAAATATCAAGTGGGCTACTGTATTATCGATGCTCTCGTTATACTATTAGTATAATTATTATTAATTACTTTTCGGAAGTCAGCTGGTGATCACCATGTGCAGCAAAATGAAGTTAGATATGTTAAAAAAACTCATTTAACCAGATATCCTGGAAGTGGCTTCTCGCAACTTGGGATTGCTGGAAAGTGAGCTTGACTTCCTGTGCTTGTGCTTTCAGAAACTCTCCATTTAATAACTCGTCCCTAGCCACACTTAAGTTTAGAAAAGCTCCTGGGCAAGATAGACAGCTGTCTCCAGCTTTTTCAGTTGTTTATAAATAATCTCACTTGTAAAGTTCATTGGTTATAGAAAACATCAACTCACTGTACTAAATTACATATGCCTTTCAATTAAATTTTATATATTTCAGATATTTTGTCCATTTAAAAAAAACTATTGAGTATAAAATAAAATGTGTATTAGGATACCAAATATTTTTTACCTTCTCACACTGTCTATTTGAACTACAAGGCAAAATCATATGCAAGAAAATTTTCAATCATTTAATTTCAATTCTGCTTTTAATATGAGCAAAAATTATATGGTATTGAAACTTAGACTCAAGTGTTGTTCAAATTGTTTAATCAGATCATTTAATCATATTCTTAACAGGTACTGGTTACCAAGCCCGATTTTTATCACGACTATTCACGTAGCAATCTCAGGTCTACTATCAATGAGCTTCTGCGTATGAATATTGTACCAATTTTGAATGCAAATGATGTCGTTTCTCCACCCCCAGAACCTGATAAGGACCTTCATGGAGTAAGCCACAAGTTTTTTTCTCATTTTTACTCTACTACCATTTTACATCAAGCCTATTATTTCTCACGGAAATGCAGTGTTGATAGTAATTGTTATTGTCGTGATGGAATAATAGACAATAACTGGATTTGCGTCAGGAGAAACATGTATAGGTGTAATTTTGCCCTACCTGAC